AAAAAAAAAAAAAAAAAAAAAAGGGAGGCACTCAAAAAATATTCCTAAAGGCAGGGCAGGTGCGGTGGCTCACGCCTGTAATCCCAACACTTTGGAAGGCCGAGGCGGGCGAATCACCTGAGGCCAGGAGTTCGAGACCAGCCTGGCCAAATTGGTGAAACCCCATCTCTACTAAAAACAAAAATTAGCCAGGCGTAGCGGTGCATGCCTGTAATCCTAGCTACTCGGGAGGCTGAGGCAGAGAATTGCTTGAACCCGGGAAGCTGAGGTCACAGTGAGCCAAGATCGCGCCATTGCTCTCCAGCCTAGGTGACAGAGCGTCTCAAAACAAAACAAAAACAAAAAAAGGCCAGGCGCAGTGGCTCACGCCTGTAATCCCAACACTTTGGGAGGCTGAGGCAGGCGGATCAAGAGGTCAGGAGATCGAGAGCATCCTGGCCAACATGGTGAAACCTCATCTCTACTAAAAATACAAAAAATTAGTCCGGCTTGGTGGTAGTCCCAGCCTGTAGTCCCAGCTACTCGGGAGGCTGAGGCAGGAGAATGGTGTGAACCCGGGAGGCGGAACTTGCAGTGAGCCGAGATCGCGCCAGGGCACTCCAGCCTGGGCGACAGAGTGAGACTTCATCTCGAAAAAACAAACAAACAAACAAAAAAATCCTTTAAATTTAATTTGGCTGGTTTGTTTGCGTATTTTTTTGTGTGAAGGAGTCAGTATCACACCCAGGCTGGAGTGCAATGGTGCTCTTTCTGCTCACTGCAACCTCTGCCTCTGGGTTCAAGAGATCCTCCCTTCTCAGCCTCCCGAGTAGCTGGGACTACGGACACGTGCCACCACACCAGAGTAATTTTTGCATTTTTTGATAGAGCCTGGGGTTTCACCATGTTGGCCAGGCTGGTCTCGAACTCCTGACCTCAAGTGATCCGCCTGTCGCAGCATCCCTGTTGGGAATGAAGTTTTTGGTGTCGCAAAAAAAACCCCAAAAACAAACAAACAAACAAAAAAACAACAACGCAGGAACAAATGATCTTTCAGCAAGGCAAGCTTTTACTTTCTGCAGAAAGGGTGCTACTCAAAAGCTGTCCAGCCACGAGAACACACAGAACAAAGGAGACAGAGTTATTTATAATCTGACGCATCTACCCTACTGCTGTGTCCATTTTCCATTGGCTGAATAGGACCTCACATTTTACACTTTACCTGATTGGCTATTAGTTTAAAACTTTTTTAATTGGGTAAGGGGAACAGAACAAAGAAAGAAAAGGAAGTTGCCCAGGGATCTTTAGGGAAGCATCTCCAAATAAGGAATGGCATGCACTATAGGCTGGGGCTTGTCTAGTTCTGTCCAGGCATGCCGGAGCAAGCTAGGACAGCTGATTTGGAAACACACACACACACACACACACACACACACACACACACATAGTGGGTAGCAATCTTATAGTAAGAAATTGTGACTTTTTATAATCTTCAAAGAAGAACTTTCCCATTTCTCACACTCGCAAAGTGCTGGGACTACAGGCGTGAGCCACTCCGCCCAGCCTAAAGTTTTTTTTTTTTTTGAAACGGAGTCTCGGTCTGCAGCCCAGATTGGAGTGCAGTGGCGGGATCTCGGCTCACCGCAGCCTCTGTCTCCTGGGTTCAAGCGATTCTCTCCCCTCAGCCTCCTGAGTAGCTAGGATTACACGCAGGTGCCACCACGCCTGGCTAATTTTTGTATTTTTAGTAGAGATGGTGTTTTGCCATGTTAGCCATGGAACCCCTGACCTCAAGTGATCCACCTGCCTGGGCCTCCCAAAGGGCTGGGATTACAGGCTT